TCACGGTCCGGTCTGTTCCCTGCTTGTAGTAAATTCAGATATATAAATGTACTTCAATTTATCGGATTAAAAACAAAACAAAACCAATTTACATATGTTTATTATATCATGATATTTCACCATCTAGTTTTTTAACGTCGCTTAACAGACATTGAATGGTATAGTATCATACATCACTATTTTCCAACATTTCCTAACAAAAAGGTATCATTCAGGTTAACTGCGATCTATCGAAAAACTGCCAGATGACGCTTTTTCAACGACATCATATTCTTTTATTGATTTGATTGATATACAGGTAAGGTTATCTATAACAGTGGACCCCTAATCTTCTCGATAAATATCGTGGGTTTTTTTAACGCGCTCAAGGTATGGCTCTCTCCAAATATGTACATGTATTATTCTCCCCAGATTAGTTTCATTGAAACATGCTTGAAGATTATATGAACTAGCTTGCTGCTGCTCACATAGAGGCAAAAAAGAGGAGTGAATGTACGTTTGTTACCCATTACCAGTGAGCCATCTTTGGGTGCAACACACCAGTTTCATACAGTAAGACAGTAAGCTTCGGAAGACCAGACTGTCACATTCAAACCACTCACACTGGGATGGTCCCTACTCTTTTAGATAAGTATGGCGGAATATTAAGGTGCATATGCTCGATAAAGGTGTTGCTCTTCTCGAATACCACCCGATTCAAGAGTCGCCACGGCTACTTAACGTCCCACCTGTGAGTATATCAGGTACTCATTGAAAGTATATCAGGACTCAGACTCGCCAGAGTCTATTATTAGCTAATGAGGAAATAGGTGCAAGTTACTTTTTTCAAGGACGGACGAACCCAGAACGGTACCTTTAAAACCCTAACCACATGAACCTCCTCGCCACCTTCAAATGATAATTCAGTTTCGTCCCTCAGGGCTGGAAACACTCGAAGGAGAAACACAAAGATGGATGGGAGCTAACACAACGCCAGTGTTTCCGTTCGTTACGACCAGGATGTCTCATTTTTCACTGCTAATTACCTGATTTGTTTTCTAAAACCCTATCCCTTAATCCTTTAATCCCTACCAAAAGGAATGGCGTCATAACTGTGCATCATTATACTAGATTGTGGTGTTTGATGCAGCAAGGTGCATCTAAGGAGTAGAATTGGAAGTGACTGGTAACTTCACACGGGAAATCAAGAAACTCCAATTTTCTGCACGGCACTTAAGGCGTTAGTCTTGATTGTAATTATTCCATTAATCTACATTAGATCGATGACAAGTACGTTACGCGTGTCAGTTCTCTTTATATCAATACAGTTCCATATCAATTGTCTTGAGCTACCAAAGCAAGAAAGAGGTATAGGTAAGGAGTATACAGTCAAAATTAATATCGTGGGAGATCGTAGCGTTTTCTGACTACCCCCAATCCCAACTCTTTGCTGCCAGACAAGCCCAAAATGTGATGATCTTTATGCCAACATCTGTTGGAAAACACTACTACTACTGCAGCTGCAACTAGCCTCCACCAGGCCTTCCTAAGTGGGGTTAGGGTGGTAAAATGTGGCAAAGACATGGTCTCAGTGACTGGCCATGTCCAGGGGAGTGGGTACACCGTTAGGGCTTCATTTTCCCTCTGCGCGGGCAAATGAACTCTACGGTGGCTAAACTCCCCTGGCCAATTGTTATCCCTATTTGGCTAAAGTTTACTGTATGCATGGTTAGTATGGTGAAGAATAGACTACAATCAGCAAAACGTGAACAAAACTGAGTGGACACTTGAGACACGGACAATAAGGCGGGAAATCAACTCCCGTCAGCATCGAGTGCTCATATTTCACCCGGATACCACTTCTCAATGCGGAAGTCTGGTCCATACCCGGGGTAGAATACTCCAAAACCAATATCACGAACATTGGAAATGGTCTGTCTAAAGCCTACCATCAGGACCTTCCGATAAAAAAAATCACGAGGAAGGTTTAGATCGCCAGAAAGATGGAACGGTCAGATCAAAGATTAAAGAACAGTCAGCGGGCCTGGCGCCTTTACTTAATGACACCAAGGCAGCAACTATGTGAAACCATGATGCACATTTATGTCCTTCCCTGACCTGGGACCATCACAGTAAAGGATAATCGGGGGTCTTACCTGCCCAAACCGAGGACCTTTCGGGGTAGCTGTATTGTTGCCAGGCTATACATCACACACCACTGGAACCAGTGCAAAGCAAACTATAGGACTGATACCAGGAGGAGATTCTATATGCAAATCACGCTGATTGTAATTTGATTAATTTCCTAAGCCCGTTTCTCATTACTGAATGCAAAGCAGCACATTGTTCTAAGGTGGGATAAAGGAAGATGTTTTGGAGAGCGGTGTTTACAGTGCAGTTTTTTTTTTTCAGACGGATGAAAACCGCTGGTGAAATCTGATTTCCCGCACGTGTGCAGGGGCTTACGGAGGAGATCCGCCATTAAGGGTTAGAAGATAACAGTCACTACAGGCCCGAGTCCCCTGGCGTTATCAACGTGTATCTGATTTAAGGTTTGATCTACTTTCTGGACGAGTGAAGTAATTAGGCAACTAAAATAACACGTATTACTTAATATGAATTGGCAGGATGGTATAGCGTCGACGCCATCCTCGCATCTTTCTGGTCACCGTATCATAACATAATCTTTATTTGCAAAATCATGCCCGAAGGCCAATACTTGTACAGAGTCAAAGAAAGTAAAATAAAGCAATATAAGACTCCTTATTCCCACCTCTGTACACATTTGTATCATGGGTTTCGCTAATCTCTAAAATCAGTTTGGTACAATTTAGTAATAATAATTACAAAGGCAAAGTAATTTTTGTTTCATTACAGGACCAAATACACACATATCAACCCGCGTTTTAAACCGTGAGCGTGTAAACTTAAGCTCAAGTGGAAGTGCCATTCACACATTGAGGTTTAAATGAAATTGAAAATTTATCCTATTAACCCCATTATGAATCCTATAATAAGAGAACAATGTTCGGCCACGGTTCACTGAAGGTAATGATAAAGATAATAGAACATAGGAGAGACAGGATGTGACATTAGGCACACGAGATAGCACAATCTACATGTAATTACTAATAGTAGGTTTCTGAATACAAGTGTCTTGGATCACAACTAACTCTATATCCTTATCTCTTCTCGCGTTTGACTTTGAGTCTGACATTCATTATCCAGATTTAAGAGCACTTACGCGCTCATCATGCACTTGATAATGTCCTTGCCTTCCGTGATGGATGGGTCCCCAGCGTCGCCACAATTACATCCGAAAAAGAGTTCTCCTGTCAAAACATGATCGATTCCCCGCCGACGGCAAACCCTGCTGGACTGGAAGGTAATTGTGGACCAACCTGCGTTCTTTTTGTCAACGCAGACGCTATTCATTAAGACTTTCATCGGCAGACTAAAGAGATAGCGTTGTTTTACTGCATGGGAGCACTGCTAGTGTAGGTGCTAAGCACCTGTTTTGTTCTCCCTTCCACTTAACGGTGAAGTCAAATAAACAAAGTCCAGTTCATGATCCAGTTCATGATCCAGTTCATGATCCAGTTCATGATCATGAAGAGGGAAATAGGAAAGAGAAATTTGATGGCTACAACAAAGAAACTAGCACGCATGTGGCACGGATTGAAACTCGTGAAGACCTGCACGAATTTCAGCACCGTGGACAGTGCGTGATACTAGTAGTTAGATCATACAGACTCAGAGGAGACCCTGAAGTCGAGAAATGCCATTTTTCCTGTTCGGCATTTTCAAGACACACAGATGACATCTGCTAAGGCTCTCGACCTTGATGCCAATGGATAAGCTGTCGCACTTATTTTCGTAGTGTCTGTACTGTGAAATCTGGAAAAATCTCGCAAACGGTCAAAGAAACGTCACGAGAAAACGGCCACCCAGATTTATGAGGTTATCAGACGGTGATTAGTTGACTTATGTCACTAATGGGCAAATTGATAAGAATCTATAAAAAATGGATCGTAAATCTCCCAGTGACGAAGTATCCACGGTTCATAATTCCAGGCTGCGCTCACGCGACATTGCGCGATGGTCCCTATAAACCACCATTAGTATACCGGGAACCGGCTACTTATCCAGCAGAAAGGCGCTGAACTAGAAGAGCAGCTCACACGGATGGTGATGAAGCGAAAGGTCTGGATAGCCACGTGACAGTCATACATGTCGCATGTGCATCTTTACGTCTTTGATGAGATATATGAAGGGTTCCTTGAAGTGCTGAAGGCATTGGCACATGTGTGTGCAAACATTAGACAGCAAGGCCTCGCAGTGATTGGCTGTGGATCGATGGGACGAAGCACAACACCTAGCAAAGGACAAGAGACGATGGAGAGTCATGTTGACGGCAGTGATGATGATAAGAGTCTGCAAACGAAAGTTGTCTTTTGTGCTGTAGAATTAAGCCAGCCCCTTTCTACACATCTATCTGATTTATGTTATCGTGTCATCACACAATGCCATTCCTCATTCCTTGGAGGAACGCAAAACTTTAGGGAATTGATATCGATGTTGATGTAGTTTCCTTTGGTAAAGGTGATAAATCATGAAAGAAATAGGAGAGAGAGAGAGAGAGAGAGAGAGAGAAAGAGAGACAGACAGAGAGAGACAGAGAGATCCAGGAAATCATATTCTTGGCGAAGGTAAAGTTTCTTGACAACAGCCAGTTCTGACCTACATAGTGTGAAGTGTGGGAGTGTGCATCTCGTGGGAAGGCCCGCTCCCCCCGGATCGACCATTAACCTTGAGATCGGTCCTAATCTTTCAATTAATCAGATTGGCGAACATAAATACTCAGATCACTGGACAGGAATGGATGGTCTCCGTTGCAGCTTTTCTTCCTGAACATTAGAAAAATTGTTCTGTGTCGTGACTGGCTGCGTTGGAGCCGCCAGTGTGGCTGTGGGACGCATTAGGAGATCACAGCACTGTTGGACACCATCTATCATATTTGATGTTGGCATGAAAGTTCATCGTGTTCATAGTGTTGGTAGAATTCGTTAAGAAGAAGGGCAGAATTCATCCCATGACAAAGACTGGTGTCGTACACTTGCAAAAGTCCAATTCTCTTAGTTGAAAATTGTGGCTTTGAGATGACCTTCATATCCTTCATGTTTAACAAAAATGAAATTGAGATGCCCTATCCATAGTAAACAGTTTACGACGCTTTGCAGAAGTCTCAAAATTCAACATTGCGACTGCCAGTATGCTTTGTACACACAAACATTGATACTAGATAAACTTGTCTACTGCCACAATCCGCATCGGGAGCGAAGTCAAAATTATCCCGAGAGAACAGCGGGAACACGTCGGGTCCTAGCACAAAGGGGAACGCTCAGGGCACTTGTGAGAAACGGGGTGGGCGTCGTGTTCGAACAACCGGGCAACTCGTTGTTTACGAACGTTTGGCTTCGCAGGTTTTACGATATGAATATAATGAACGCAGTAGTCTACGTCATCTGTCGTAGAATCATTCGTTCTGTTAAGTAAAGTCACGAGAAAACTAAGCTTACCTGCTCAACGGTCACAGTACACGTACTACCGCTTCAAAAATACCGCCAAAATGTGCCCCATCAGGTTTGTCGTCTGATTTGGTATGCTTCCTTTTGCGTCCGCACCAGTGACAAGTTCGCTTCCTCAGATTCGACATCTGACATTTGTGGGTTTAATAAGTAACTAGAATAATTAATGTTGAATAGATCATTATCGTTTTAATTTGGATAAATATGACCTTGTCTATAATGAGCTCTTAAGTTCTACAGTAGATGTGAACTGAGATTAGAGCAGATGACTTAGAATTGCAAGACATTGTATTTCCAAAGTTTGCTTTCTTTCGCGGCCAAACAAAATAGCTGTTTATACAAATTTATCACTTACGTTACCTACAGCAGTACCAGCAATTTTTAAAACCTTCATCATCTCTGTAAACCTTATTACCACAAAAATAGAATCTCTGGAAAATTTCAAAAGCTGTCAAAGATATGAAATACATTATAGTCTGGGACACTCCTATGTTCTGACACCCCAGCGTTCTGACACAGGATTGCTGGAACAAAAAGGTGTTGGAACATAGGTGTGTCAGAACATAGGGGTGTAACAATACAGTCTGTGCTAATTTCTTAGCTTGATTTGCAAAATGGCCTATGGGAAAATATCATGAACACTACTAGTATTCCTGTTTCTGGTTACAGTTAGTCTAAGCAATGTAATCTGACTTCAGAATTATCATCATTAGTAGTTCTAGGGAACATAGTCTGACTTTGTCTGTGACAGTTTTTCAAAGTCCGTCTTGTAGAGTTTGTTGAGTAGCTGAGGGAGCTCTGTGATGCAGCCCCTGTCTTCAAAGTACAGGCAGTAGTCCAGGACATAACGGATACACTGTGGGTCCGCGTCATCCTCCAGGCACGGGTCGTAGTGACACGGGCACTTTGGGTTCTGGTCGTCAAACAGACATCCATCCCCATCCTAGAGAATGAAAATAATAAAAAAAGCAGTTTTGGCTGGTCAACAAAAAGGTTCTCTTTCACTGCTCTTGACATGAAAGATGGGATTTGTAATGTTATATATACAGTAATTACTGACACCAGAGAAAGCAGAGAAAGTGTATTTTTGACATCTACTTGTGTACCTGAAGGCCCATAGATATGCTTTTCTTCTTGTTCTATTGCCATTTTCATTCACAAATTCAGAAAAAGCAAAGAAACAAGAGAAACTAAAGTGCCTTATGAATACCATAACTATCTAATGTTACTGTACTGAAAGTTCCCATATAAACAGAGCCAAACCAATAGTTACCAGCTCAGGTCCATTAAAAATGTCCAGGTCTTGCTTCATGGTCTCAAAATTGTAGACGCTCATGGGACTGTTCTGATGGTGGCAGGTGAGCCTGGGGCTGGAGATGCTCACGTTCTGGACCCACAGCTCATATGCAGCCAGCCACTGCCCATAGGAGTACCTTCTCTCTGGCACAGTCTGCTCCTGTACCTGACTATTTTGCTGCTGTGCCTGACTGTTCTGCTGCTGTGTCTGTTTGTCGGCAGGTTTAGACCTCCACCTGATGACCACCCCCTGCTGCCTGCCTGAGTCTGCCCTGACATGGCGCCACCACATCTGTGGGACATACAGCAGGTCTCCTGCCTCCAGATCTGCCCTCTGGTACTGTACATCAGCCACTCTGGGCAGGTACAGGGAACGCAAACATTAACAAGAGTTCCACGATCTCATACCTTCGCCAAAAGATGTTAACCCTTGCGGGTGACGAATTCTACAATTTTAATCATTGATTTTGTAAATAAGAGCCTCATTTGCATGGATTATATCAGTTGATCATATTCTCCACCCAATGACAGCCTTATCATAACAAAAAGGCTAATATAGCACTTCCTGATAAATTATGCAAATGAGGTCATGATTTGAATAAATTATGTTTATTAATGTTCACCTTCACTTAACTTCCAAATGTGGCAAGTATGAAATTCGGGGTGCAGCAGTTACAACTATGGAATTATAAGAATTTTCCATTAATTATGCAAATTAGGTCCTCATTTACATAATCTATATCCTCAGATGTTTTTCTCGTTCTCAAGTAGATGTCACAACTGTTTCATAGTTCTATTATCGAACAAATCAGATTTATAGAATTTCCTCATTAATTATGCAAATTAGCTCCTGATTTGCATAATTGCCATCTGATTATGTCAAGCATCACTTCAACTACCTACATACCAAAAATCACGACAATACGTCAACCGGTTCTTGAGTTATCGTCCTTCAATTTTTTTTCAACAAATGCTCCTGCAGTTCCAGAACAAGGCGCTAGGGGACCCAAACTCATGTCACTTCTTCCCTACCCCAAGAGCTATCTACTAACCAAAATTCGTGACCCTAGCATGTCCAGAACATGAGATATCAAAACCGGAAGTTCAGCTGCAGTATCTAGGAAAGCCGCCAGGGGGCCCAAAATCTAATCATTTCTAGGTCTCATGAAGTCCTACCCACCTACCAAGTTTCATTCCAATCCATCCACTGCTTCTCGAGTTATCTTGCTAAACCACACACACACAAACACACCCACACACAGACAAACGCTACTGAAAACATAACCTTCTTGGCGAAGGTAATAAAGACAGCACACAAAAACTTCATGTAGGTTCAATCTTTCAATGCAGGGATTGACTCTGGCTTCTCTTCTTTTGACAAATGGGAAACAACATAAGGTTACAACAAGCAATCTCCAAGCAGATGTTGGGAGGGCAGGTTGCTTTCTTTGCAAGGTTCTGTGAAGGTGATAGTATTCCTGTGATTGGCAAAGCATCTCGGGATGAAAGTGTCATCCAAATTTTCATATTGGGGTAAACACACACACACAGATTAAAAAAACCTAGGAATGGCTATGTGCTTAAAAATACATGACCTTTATCTGACCTTGGATACTTCTCCATGTCCACAAAGTCGACGTCCACGGGAGAAACCCCAAGTACCCTGGCCTCATCTGCATAAACATCGTTAGAATGAAGTGGTGACACCAGGAGCACTGTCTGGGGGCCACGCAGGACAGCAAACAGGTTCTACATG